ACTACGTACTACTACTACTACTACGTACTACTACTAACTACTACTACTACTTACTACTACTACTCTACTCTACTACTCTCTCTACTCTCTCTCTCTCTCTCTCTCTCTCTCTCTCTCTCTCTCTCTCTCTCTCTCTCTCTCTCTCTCTCTCTCTCTCTCTCTCTCTCTCTCTCTGTGTGATGCTATGCTTTCCTGAATTAGCAGGATGAATGGGTCATATGCCGAGTGTTTCAGAAGAGTTCAGGGGGGAAGAAGATAGTAGTTACAGGGTTTATGAGGGTGAATTCTTTTGGAGATGAATTGAATTCCCCTCTCCCTCCATTAACGGACTCTCCATACAAAACCAAGCCCTGTTCTGATCAAGTTCAGCATGTGACCTGCTTCTCCAATAGAGCAGAGAACCACAGAAACACCCACCCTGAAGAAGGTTCAGTAATGAATGAATATTTCCCCTCTTCGCTCTTCACGAATAATTCAGTGGACACAACAAACCCTACTTCATCGCTCTACACGAGAACTCCATTTCAGAGCCCCTTCTATGCTCCTGGAGCTCAGGGTTTCCATGGCCCTAGGCTTGATTCTTGTGACCAAGCGATTTTGCGAGCTCTCCTCGACAGCCATGGCTCGGATTTGAAGCCCTTGAGACTGAACCAGGGGTTGCAGAAACCGGATTATGGGGCTTCTTCTCATCAACCAGCCATGGTCAGTATATCTCAGGAGACTGGATTGAGCAGTGAGATAAATGCTGAGATCTCTTCTGTGGTCTCTAACCATGAAATGGGAAGTAGGCCTTTCCATGATCCAGAGGATCACCCTTCCTCTAATGGACCAGTGGACCTTGATTGCCTTTGGAACTATTGAAAAAAGGAAGATTGTAGAGAAGCTTGCGATGTAAATTTTTTTCTCTTTTCTTTTAAATGTTGTGTATAATTTTCATGAGAAAATAATAGATTCAGAGAGAGAGAACCCCATGATAGCCTTGTGTAAGAACAAATGAAGCTTATTCACATGTTCTTATGTTTTAATTTTTTTCTCTTTTATCTATCTATCTATGAGAATGAGAGTATGGTTTCTTATTCAAAAAAAGCTTTATGATATAAAAGAATCATTGGATGGATTAGTGAGAGTTTCTCACACCTAATGCTTTAATTATGATGAGGGTTTGTAAGGTGAGAGATGGGGCCTTGACAATCCCACTTTTCTTTGAATTTGTTGCGTTGGTTCCATTTTCTTTTTGTTTTTGTTTGAATTTACGGGTCCTGAGGTGGGCTGATTAGTTGAAGAGGATATATGATGTTGTGAATTGTTATATGACCCATTCTCTCTCTCTCTCTTTCTCTCACACAGTTGATTTGAAGGTTCCAATTATTCTTCCTCCCTATTCTAATTGATTTAAAGGTTCTTGTAATTGTTTTATTCAAGTGTAACTGATGGGTTCCACTGTTAGGCTACCTATCATCCTTTTAAAAGTCATCTCATCATCTCTCTCTCTCTCTCTCTCTCTCTCTCTATTTTAGGCTGTTAAACTCTTACGTAGGTTAATGGCCCTTCATGCAAATGTGCAATTACCCTGTGCTCTGCACTTTCTTCAGGTTACTGCTCTACTCTCTCTCTATAGTAGAGAGACAGTGACGACGTCCATTGGTTGAGACTTGCACGACAAAGACAAGGAGTCCATAATGCTTGCCCAATAAACCATGCCATCTTCCATTAAGTTTCTTTCTATTTTTAGAGTGCATGTCAGTTCAAAATTTCAGAAACGGAAACTAGGGTTTCCTCTTCTATTTCATGCCAATTCCATTCTTCTCTTCATTATCTCTCTTCCTGTTCTTTTTCCGAATTCACTGTATCACTTTCTCTCTCCTCTGTTTCCATCTATATTTCGGGAGTTCCCTTAGTGCCCCTGGACTTTTTGCAGTCAGGCCTTTTTTCATGCAAATTTGATAATATAAATTTGTCCATTTGGTGTTTCTTGTTTATCTATTTTTATCTATAACTTTTAAATTTTGAACTTCAAAAATGGTTCGAATCAAGTAGATCTCTAGACACATTAAAATCTTGAAAATGAATTGTCCATAAAACGTATTGCAAGATGCATAACTTTTGGGATGCTAAATCATTTTTTCTTTCATTTTCAAATATCTCGATATCGAGATGATCAATTAGAGGGTTTTTCAACATCAAAACAACATTTTTGATAGATTTTGATGTACACCTTAATTTTTAACGTTTAAGGTTACAACCTCATATAAACTTTTTTTTAAAAACATTGGGACCAACTCTAGGAGCCCAATTTTGATTCTCCTATTCTCGCTCAAACAATTCTTGAGTCGATCAGGCTACAAATGCATAAAAACCAGGGGAATTAGGTAATGTTAGGGATTTTGCATTCGGTGTCATCCATCTCCCAATATCAATGTTCAAAATGTGAAAATTATAAAAACCGGTATTTATTTTTTGGTACAATATTTTTCTTCTTTTTATGTGTACCTGTATTAAGAAGATGGTTCATTGAATATGTTATTTCTTTAGTAGTACACAGCTTTGTAACTCTATAAATTAGAATTCTTGTTCACATATTTGATAAGCTCTGAAATTCATCTTCTATGGGGGCTTAAGGCTTAAATATATAGAAATATAGTTTCTCATAAGGTATGAATGCAAAGTTCTTAGTAAGTTTGGTCTTTTTTGTCTATTTGGCAAAGGTATCTATCGGCGAAGAAAATCCCTTGATTTTTTTTTTTTCAGTATATCAAGATCGTTTTCAGTAGTGCCTTCGTCTCCTCACAATTCAGTGTTAACCAAAAAAAAAAAAATTCATATCTGAGTTTTGATTTCAAATCCAGGTTCTTGATCACATCTAAGGGTGCTCATATAATTTGTATATGGCTTCTGAAAAAAAAGATGTCTTGGTAATAAAACTTGACGTAGAAAATCTGATATCCGTTATCTATAAGTCATCTGCCATTGCCCAATGCTATCATGCTCCCCTTTGATGCCAGACCTTTGGTGACCTAGATATGAAACTCGCCTATAAAATCCACGTCTGAAAATGGCCTCTGAAAATGATCGATATGCACTATCTGCAAAACACATTGAGTCGGGTTTCAACTCTCTGATTTATCTCTCAGCAGAGTTGTGTTTCGACTCTCTGATCTGTTTTGGATCTTACTGTTCTCAACTCTAAATCTAAAGTCCAACTGTGCTTTACGATCTGCCACTGATTTCTGTTAGCTCTTCCAAGTGCCTCCTATTTGATGATCAAATTTTTCGATCCTAATTGATGATTAAGTTTTTTTATTATTTGATCATATTTAATGATTGAGTTTTTTGTTACTCAATCATATTAGATGAAGGAGTTTTCCGTTACTCCATTATATGTGACGATCGAGGTTTTTTTTCATCACTCGATCATGTATGTTCTAGAGGCATGTTCATTTGCTGTTATGCGAGATTGCTCTGTTTGAGGCGTCGGTTTCTAAGAATCGCTAATTTTGTTCATGTTTTGTTTCTAAGGCCTACCAAGTGAATCGGCCAATAAAAAAAAGTAGAGAGCAAAATAAAAAAAATTGAAGAAAAATAATTCAAAAAGGTAGGGCCGGATTGATCGATTTCGTCGGAGAACCAGCTGGTTCACCATGGAAACCTGCCAGTTGCCGATATTTGGTGGAAACCGAACTGGTCCCATAGTATCTCAATCCAGATTGCACAATTTCGAACCAGATCAGCATTTTTTAATACGTTACCTAATACCAATTGCACTGGGTTAATTGCTAATCAACTGGCAATTTGTAAATTATTGAATTTTTTATAATTGCTAAGTTGAAAAAAAATGGGTTCCCTTAAACAATTGCACGTCCATTGACCAGAAAATAGTTATTTATGACCATCCCATAAGTGGGGTCTTATTATACCAAGATACCTAGAAAAAGATTATCTAAAGCAATGGACTTCTATGTAGCATAGGCCATTTTGAATTCTATGAATTTGCAGGATTCTTAATTTCCATACATGTGGGTATTATTCAAGCTATCAAAAATAAAAATTCGAACAAAAAAGAAATCATCATTTTCAATGAATGTTGCGTTTGGTGGATGGCCTTTAAATAATCGAAATAATTTTTTTTTTAAATAAATTTTTTTTTTGAATCAAAGATGCTGAGAATTTTAGCCCATGGCTAATAATACCGTAATGGGCCCTCTTGGCTTGTAGAATTCTTTTCCAACCTCGACGACGTACGTACATGATGACACTCGTGATTCATGTCATCTCCTCCGTCCACGTCCACACCAATGTAGAAAAAATTGAATCGAAACGGCTAATTGGATACGGGGCCGAAAGCGATTATTCGGTACTAACTGATAAATCGACCGGTTCAACCGGTCTAATCGGACAAGTCCTTGTCACTAAAAAGAGTTAAAAAGAATCTAATAAAATAAAAAAAATAAATAAAGTACATTATTGAACATAGAGGTGTTAGGACAAGACGGTATGGATGTGGCACCAGCATAATCAATTTGTGTCTAGGAGTATTTTTAAAATATTTCAAAAAATATGAAAAAATGTAAAAAATAAGTATTAAAGGTTAAAACAATTTTCAATTTTTACCAAAATGATGGAAAATACAAAAAAATTCATTAAAAATAAAATCCTTTTTTTTTAGATTTCATATATTTTTTTATTTTTTAAAAATACCCCAGTGGTGCACCAAAGCCGGTTGAAATCAGAACCGGATCCAATAGGGCGATTAGAATTTGAACCACCTAATTTTTCCTACACTGGTCCACACAACAACCAAAAAGAGGGTTTAATCATTGTCCCCTTTATTGAACCATGGTGCACTTGAGCAGCCTTATCTCCACCATAATGAGCAGTTGGGAATATCATATATCGTACTATTTGTACAATAATATATTTTAAAAATATATATATAAGGTTGCAACTTTACTTGTAAAATAAATTTGCAGTAATCTCCAACATTCATTTTATTTAAAAGATGTAAATTTGACATTTCTTTAAAAGAAGTGTTAAATTCACACTGTCCAACTAAAATGAAGGTAACATATGCTTTAGATTACTTCTACAAAAAAAAGTTGCAACATTATAAAAACCCCACCTATTATAATAAATATGTTGGATTAATACTTTCTTTTTTTAAAAAACTAACTTTGGACTTAGTGAGAATGGAAATTTAAATGCTAGATTGTGGCACCCGCCACCCTTACTCTCTGCCTATAGCACGTTCTAGTGTTATGTTAGTTCTCAGATGATATATCTCCACATGCATATAATTTTTATATATTTAAATACCTAACATTCTTCTTGATCGAATAGCTGAGAGTGAAGTATAAATTAATAATATTACATTAATTGTACCATAATAAAGTAATTAATATCAGTCCATGATATTATCAGTAGCTCACTCTCTACAATACGATATGACATCTCTATATCTTCAAATACATTGGGCCTATTCGGATGTGCTTGTTAATGTTGATAAACCATAATTTTAATAACATTAAGTATGATAATATGTTATATGTTGTTTAGCGGTGTCCATCATAAAATTATTTGGGATAAACTTATAGGGCAGTTTTACATATAAGTTCGTTTTTTTGAAAAGTTATTTTTACTTTATTCAAAATAATTTGATGAAAATAACGTTTTTAGCTAAAAATAACTAAAAAATCTAAAAATCATCAAAAAAAAAATTAAAAGTTATCAATAAATCCATTCACCTCAAGTCCCACACTCATGTCCTAACTTTTTTAGAGGTCTGTGTCAAAATTTAATGGTAATCATTTGAAATTCTACTCACGTAAATGTGGGAGAGTCTCATAGTGTCATTACTCTTATACATAATACAATATATGTACAAAACACTATCAAAATAATATTAAGCAGAGTATATTTACTTTAGATGAAATAATACATTATAGATAAAATCAATTATCATCCATACAAACCGTAGGAACAAGTTCCCAAAAGTCCAAAACTCTCGAGAAATGAGGTTTTCAGATAGAAATTACACCGGTAACAATAAAAGGGTATTTTCGTCATTACTGACAACATAAAACTCCAGAGA